CAGCTATATACGACGTTCCTGTGGTGAACAATAAAACTGCTTTCGAATCGTTATCTCTGCCTTATATCGATCAATCGATCGAGCTCTCTATAACATCTAACGATAGAGAATTCGATATCAAACTATCATCGAAGGACAACTCTCCGATGAAGCCCATGCCAAAAAGTCCTGTACAATCACCTGCGAAGATACCCAAGCTTAACGAAGGCACAAACAGTTTGCATCGCAAAGATTTCGTGAATAAGAACGAGAGCCCATCAAAACTTTTGTCGAAAACTGTACCTTACCCTGACGCTGTAGGGTCTACTGGGAATCTGAAGACTTGTGAAAAAGAGGTAGTAAGATTGAATCCTCCGGTGGAAGTTTCTCGACCTCTTTCGATGAGTTCCATTGCGTCCTCGAGTTCTACGTCAAGTAGTGGAGTGCAGAATAAAGGAGGAGTGAACTCAGCGTACTTGGCTTCCATCGAGAGCTTGGATGACCATAGTGACGCGGACATGACCTCGGCAAATGGTAGCAACAACTTCGTGAATAACGCGGGGATCATGACTGCCTGTGTGTCGGAGGAGAGGAACTCGGAAAGTACACCACGTAAGTTGAATACTATACTTGTACTTAGTCCAAACAATCATAATTCTTATTTAAAAAACTTGTAGAAAATCGTTGGATAGGTTATCTTCTCGGAATAAATTGTGATCCTCGTAATGTTCGTTAAGTCACTAGACCCAGGTCCCAGCTAAATTACATCGGGAATCGAGACTAATTAGTTACTAATCAGATCTTCAGCACCTTCCATTCCATGTAAGCACCTAGTACCTAATGATATTCTAAGTAACACTTACTAATAAATAAATAAAAAAACATATAAAAATGAAAAAAGCCTTATATTTCTTACAAAAAACACATAATAACTAATTTTAGACATTTATTCCTAATCTGTTTTGACTATTATAGAAAATTTACTATTTATGAAAGAACCCCTCGTTGTCGAAAGTGAAGGCCTCCTATAGAGATTTCCATTTATCCCTGTTCTTCGCCGTCTCCATCCACATTCACTTACTAATACATCTTTATTATGTCCAGGTGTTCAGTTGGTAGACGAGTTGGCTGGTCTGTCACAACTGGAGCGTGTGTGCGCCGAGATTGTGCAGACTGAGAACGTGTATGTCGAGGACCTGAGACAAGTTGTCGAGGTGAGTACTCTATAGATAGAAGATTTCTTTTGTAATGGTATTGGAAGTGATAAAATCTATTGTAGTTTTTGCTAAGGAACTCGAGAAAAACGAGTTTGACGATGACTTTACATGATGGGAATTAACGCAAATGTTATTTTGTCTTTTAGTTTATGAAAGAAAATAGATATTTTTATTTTTGGAAGGACTCAATGCTATGAAAGTAGTAAATGACCTTGTGTTAGTGTAGGGATTACTTGTTATGTTTGTCTGCCTCAAAATATTATGCAGTGCTGCTATACTTACCTCTATAATAAATATGACATATGTATACTTAAACTACCTCGTAGCTCGTCAACTGCCTCGTTGACCTAGTGGTCGCAAGTGCGACTGCTGGGCAAGGGGTCTCGGGTTAGATTTCCGGGTCGGCAAAGTACTACTGGTTTTTTATAAATTCTCAGTAGTAGCACGGAGTCTGATATTGTGCCCGGTATATGGCAATAGGCTCACCCTCTATTACATGGGACCCATAATATAAATAGTGAAAAGTGGGTGTTACATTGTACAGTGCCATAATATACACCTCTGCCTACCCCTTCGGGGATAAAAGACTTATTTAATGAAAATATATTTTCTAAACCCATTTCACTCGTAGCTAACATTTACTTATCAACACTTTAACCAATTATTTCAACTAAATGACCAGTTTTAGTGTAAGAAAAACAAAAGTATATCATCTTTTTTAAACACCGAAATCTTTACAAATTATCATTTAGAATTTCCATCTAGTTTACTTTGACACAACTTCCTCCATCTTTGAAATATTAGTTGTGCTCTCGTTTGTCTGTAGTTAAATTAGTTGAACTTTACTTTGGAGTTACGCAAAGACTTCGAAAGCCAACACCGGTGTCTGTTAAAATATTTAGTTTCAACTGACGGTAATGTAATGGCGTGACAAAATTGTTTATGATTGATTTTGATGTCATGGGAATCCTTTTTTGTTTTGATTTTATTGTTAACTAGCTCCTGCCCGCGACGTTCGCGCAGTCCCGTTTTTTCCCGTTCCCGTAGGATTTCCAGGGTTTTTTTCTGTCATAAGAACCTTCTCCTGACAATAACAAACACCACAAAAAAAAAGATCAGCCAAATCGGTCCAGCCGTTCTCAAGTTATGGCGTGACAACGGGAAACGGGTTTTATGTTTATATATATACTAGAAACGAATGAATTCGAGCATTTAATAGGAGTTTACGTCATCAATTTTATTAAAAGACAAGTAATTGAGCTGTTTAGCTCTTACTAATAAAAAACTAAACATCATTTTGTTAGACTATTTATAAGCCTTAACAACGATTGGCTACATTATCATAACAAAGACCAAACCAAACCACACACATTTGATTTATATATAAGATTTATTTTTTTATTGTGTTATTTCAATCGAATAGTGTAAATATAAGTGGACTTCCTGAATCCCCAACGATCCTCAAGCTCCTTATCTCCAAAAGGCCGGTAACGCACTTGTAACGCCTCTGGTGTTCCATGTGTCCATGGGCGACGCCGATTGTTTACCATCAGGTGATCCGTTTGTTCGGTTACCGGCTTATGCCATAAAAAAATATAATTAGGTTCGAAAGTTATCATAGACTTTGTTACTTGAACTGGGCAACTACATATCAATGGAACTTTCATTTTTCAAGATGTTCGATTTCAGCTCAGTCTCTGAGCTCGGTATTTTCTACCTTACTTAAAAGAAACTAATTTTTGACCAGATTCATGTGTTATTTGGTTACTTTACAGTTGAGTCAATATCAATCTATTCAAGATACCTAGCGAATTAGTTAACTGAGTCACCTAGGATTAGTTTTGTACGGTCCAACGTTTCTTTAAAACATTCTTTTCCCAGTCTATGTTCTAAGTTCCTAAGAAATATGCATGTTCCGCAGGTACTTGCTTGGTTGAAGTTTCTTTAAGTTCTGTTATCGATGTTTGTAATAGGGTCAGCTGGGATCTGAGCCCAATGACCTGCGGTGACCCACTTAGTTACCAGTTCAAACTAGATTACGTACGTACAGGTAGCTTGCATAACTTGCGGTTTTAATTACAGTTTCTATGTTTATTTTATGTTTTTGTTATCATGACTATCGACTGAAATTAAAAACCAATCTATAAAGTTTATAGATTTTAGGTTCATGCTCTTAAATAACATAGGTACTTAAAAGCGTTCTATTGAGCATGCTTAAAAATGTTCAATGCTCGAGTGCCTGTCGATTCGCAAGCATGTCTGAAATGAGCATGCTAATTTTGATATAAAGTCAAAGTTAAAGTCAAAGCATTTATTTCAATTAAACCATAGTTTGGTACTTTTGAAACGTCAACAAATACAAAATAAATAATAGTCTGTCAGCCAGTCCGTCAGTGAAATTAGGTGAAGCTAGGTGCTCATTCCAAAATGTAGTTTCGAATGGAGAAGAACGAGCAAGAAACTCCATTCGTTACTCTTTTTTAAAAAAGTATGTTCTACAATGTCTCATATACATTCTGACACACATGCTAGTGCTACTAAGTGACAATTGCTGAATTGAAGCATGCTTTCGTGCTTGAAATTAATACATAAATACCTTAAGATCAATTTTTATCATTATGAAGTTGTAGGTATCGCGTTTCTGTCAAAACCCGAGATCGATCCAGTAATTTTGGATTAGTCGATTGTTCGTTACAAAATATTATTACTTGAACTTAGATTTTATTCCATTAGTTACGAAGTCATTAAACAGACGAACTTTCATTGATCTTAAAGCGTTCATTATTTCACAAATTATGACATAAATCATCTTAAAGTCTTCAATTAATGTCTCTCAATATTATGACTATCGATTTTGCACTCAATCTATCTTATCGACTATCATTATTGCACTAATAAATAACATTAATTGGCTGTGCAGCCTAATTTCACTGCTCGCCGCGTACCAAAACCAATATGGCGAGCCGGAAGCTGTCAAAAGTGACAGGTGTCAAATTGTCGCTGTCAAAGTGCCACCGCTAATTAGCCGACAGGTTGCTAACATGGACGGGTTGAAAATGGCGGTAAAAGTGACAGTGAGGTATTTTCGGAATGACTTTGTTGTGGTCTCGATTTAACTGACCCGTATTAGAGGAGAAATAAAAATGATGCCTATAATTACATATTATGTAAATAAAATCATGCTAGTGAACATTTCTAGGCAAATTAAAAGTATGCGTATGTTTTATGTTTTACTAAAAGAATAATTTTAATAATTAGGCGTCGTAAAGTCTTTTAAGTTCGAAAAGTTAACTCCTTTACCATCTTTACCAAACCATCGTTAATTATATTATAACTTTTGTGAGACATACTAAATTAATTATTATATTGTCAGTTTACACATAAATAATTATGAATGAATATGAGCCTCTAGCATGGCTTCAAACTAGTCGTATTCCTCGTCAAATAACTACGTGACTTACGTGAGTAAGCCGAAAACATAATGAAGAACAAAACAATCACTATAATTTTCCAGAAACTTCTTAAAATGCTTTATAGAATTATCTACATACTAAGCCTTACATACAAACTGTAAGCTCAGGGGGCCTACCACAACGTCTTATAGCAGTCTTATTATAATCTTACTTTGTATTTTCATACCACAACGTCTTAAAATAACCTTATAAAGAGTTCTAAAACAATCTTACTTTTTTAGCAGTTTTGGTGACGTCACCTACGTATCGTTCGTTCAAACCGTACCATGAGGTGTTTTGTGACGCCTAGCAATATTGTTTTTATGTCAAATTTAGCAATCTTAAATAAGTTGCTCCGGTGCTACTTTAACAACATTGATTTGCGGAATTTATTGAAAAATAAGTATTGCTTACACATATAAAGTGAGTAAAACGGCACAAAATAAGTAAAATTACGTTTATTAAAATTGTGTTAAGTGTATTGTAGTGATTTTGGTGTACGGATACATAATTTTGTTGTTGACTTCTAAAATGGCAAATGAACACGAAAGCTTTGAATTTTTGGAGGCTGATCACGCTGAAACCTCGAATATTCATAATAACAGGAAGCGGCGGCGCATGCAAATGCGTGAAGAATGTTCGCCTTTCCATTTAGACGACACGGAATTTGTTAAGCGATATAGGCTAACAAAAGAACTTGTACGTAATTTATGTGACGAAATAAGGCCATTAATGAGAAATCCACAAAAATCCACAGACTTATCTGTCGAGACGAAGGTAATTATAACGCTACTAGTATCAAAAAAAGTATGTAATGTGCCGAGATACACCTTTTATGTTTAATTGAATTTTAAATGTAATCTTTCATTTCTAGGTGTTAATTGCATTGTCTTTTTATGCAACTGGGTCATACCAACGTCCTACAGGCAATAATGAAGGACATTTTGTGGCTCAGCAAACAGTATCATCTGCCATCTCACAAGTTACTACCTGCCTTAACTCATTGGAAATGCGAAATAAGTATATAAAATTTCCAATGAGCAGCCAAGAACGCAACATGATCAAAACTAAGTATGTATCTTTCACTATCATTATCTTTATAACATTAATATTAGTATTTTTAAATGTAAAATTCAAAATAGTAGCATGGAGTATTTAACAGTATAGAACAAGTTGTATTTTTGTATGCCATCAATTTGTTTTCCGTGTAATATAATTGTAAACCATTGATTACAGATTTTACAATAAATTTGGCATACCGGGATGTTTAGGTTGTATTGATGGCTCACATGTAGCAATAGTACGGCCTGCACAACATGAAGAGCGTTATTATTGCCGCAAGAACTATCATTCTTTGAATGTTCAATTAGTAAGTGTACTTTATTAGAACTTTATAGTATATAAACAAAGTAAATAAATCTTGTAGGTACTTACTTTGTGTAGTACAAACTCTATAATTTTACAACTTGATGAAAATCAAGCTTATATCAATTCAAAATGTTTAAGTAGAATTTTGTTTTCAGATTTGTGACTCTGATATGCAAATTATAAGTGTTGATGCTAGTCATGGAGGTGCAACACATGACTCATTTATATGGGCTGTTCACCCTCTAAAGGCTCACATAGAAGCACTAAGCAACAATGAGAACATTTGGTTTCTAGGTATGTATTACCTACTATATATAATTCTACTTAGATACACTCCTTCAGTTGACAAAAACAAAGTAAATTTGTATAAATTTTATTTTTAACTTACCTAACTTAACTGCTAATCTTTTTTTATTCATTTAAAATTAATATGAGTAGGTAGTTCTATACAAAAAACAATAGAATATAAATCTAATTAACTTTTGTGATAACATTTTTTAAAGTGAACAACAATTAAAACTAATTCTTTGTTAATAGGTGATTCTGGATACCCCTTAAGAAAGACAATGATGACACCAATACTTGATGCCGCACCTGACTCTCCTGAGGCACACTACACCAACTTGCATGTCAGGGCGCGGAATGTCATAGAGCGCACTATTGGACTTCTTAAAGCACGTTTTCGTTGCTTACTTATTCATAGGGTATTACATTACTCGCCAGAGGTAGCTGGCTCTATTGTAAATGCTTGTGTCATATTACACAATATTTGCAATAGGGCTAATGTCCCTGTAGAACCATTAAGCAATGAAGACATGATTCAAGAAGCCCAACTCCAGCAACACATGAACACAACAGTTGTTCTGCCTCGTACATCTAACGTTGCGTATCAGCAAGGTCTAGCTACGAGAAATTGTCTTGTGCAGCGTCTGTGGGAAAGGCGGCGTTTATGATCCTAAAACAAAATAATTCTAGGTTACTGTATGTCCAGTTTTCCTAAACATCTGGAAATAATTATCTTTGAAGCCTGACATAATGGCTAAACAATAGTGGTCAAACTACCAGCTGGCTTGTCTCGTAATTTAACGTATTAATACATAATAATCATCATCAATACATTAAGTTATTTTAAATATTGTTGATATTCCTAAAATTGTTAATATGCAATATCTAATAAAAGAATATTATTACTTAACAGTTTTTACCTTTCAATCCTCCTTGCAGTGTTATTGAATTCGGCTAATTGTAGAACTATTCCCTCAAAAGACTGTGCAATTCTTACTGTAGCCTCAGCGCGTTGTTGTGCGGATTGAACGAGGGCACGCCTCGCAGCCTCCTGGGACATCAGCGGCTCGCGCGTTTGGCGTCGCCTGCGCCGGCGCCGTGGGGAGCTAGTTGCAGTAGGAGTAACGGGGTGCGGGGATGGGGGAGGAGATCTAAGAGTTTGGGCTGGTGGAACGGTTTCTGGTGGATTTCCACGCAATGGTTCTTGGGTTGACTGCGTGAAAACGTGCTCCACATTTTGTAAAGGAGTTGAGGGTAAATCTAGGATGGGTTCCATGGTTAGAATGGATACTGAAGCTGGAGACTCTTCCTGCACAACGTCATCCAAAACTACAGGTATTTCTAAAGGCTGAAAGGAGAAGAAAATACCACATAAATGTGTGTTATGATAAGTAGAGAGATAAAATTAATTACTTAATGTTTATTATTATTCTTACTTGAGGAAATGGTTCCACTCGAATACCGGGCAAGCCTTGACCAAAATCATTTCCCAGTATCTGGAGAAATTTTTCTTCGATTTCAGTTAATGGTTTTTCCGTCGATGGCCCTCCACCAGTCCGAGCATGAGAAGTCCTAAGAGACGCCAGTTTTGATTTTAGTTTGGCTTTGTAGTCCACCCAATACTAAAGCAAAATATTCAAATTTATTACGTACTGAAATTAAAATTTTTAGAGATTGCGTACGTAATTATAATAATAACATAACATAACATCACGCCTTTTATCCCCGAGGGGGTAGGCAGAGGTGCACTCAGAAGTGACACCCACTTTTTACTATTTTAATATGAGTCTCATGTATGGCCATGTTGGGCCTATTGCCATATATACCGGGCACATTTCCAGACTCCGTGCTACTACTGAGATTTTTTTAAAAACCCAGTAATACTTTGCCCGACCCGGGAATCGAACCCGAGGCCCCTTGCCCAGCATTCGCACTTGTGACCACTTGGCCAACGAGGCAATAACATAACATCACGCCTTTTATTTCTGACGGGGTAAACAGAAGTGGACATTACGGCACTTGCCACTACAATGTAACAATCACTTTTCACTATTTGTGTTATGAGTCCCATGTAATAGGGTTTGAGCCTATTGCCATATACCGGGCACGATTCCTGACTCCGTGGTCCGTACTACTGAGAATGTGTTTTTAAAAATCCAGTAATACTTTGCCCGACCTGGGAATCGAACCTCTCGGGTTCGATTCCCTTGCCAGTCGCACTTGCGACCACCCGGCTAACGAGGCAGCAGATTATAAAATTACGTAGCAAAAATTGTAGTTACCTTAGACCATCCTTTCCAATCTTTATGGGCTCCATCTCCTTGAGAGTTGAGGATATCCGCAAACTCACTCCACTTTCTCCTGGAATATTCTTTCGCCTGTAGAGAGCGGTTGAATGAGGATGCGACGTCTTTGTTAGAATTTAACAACTCCCAAAGTATCTCTATCTGCTGCCCAGATACACGCGTAACTCTTCTGCTGCAAAATAAATAACTACATTATACCACCTAAAGTGTTTGTGAGTACATGATAAAAACAGAAATTTTAATATATATTTTGTACAAGTCAATTTTAATTAAAAATATCTACCTTGTTTCCATGTCGACTGCTGTGCTAAGAATAGCATGCTAAGATTGCAAAGGTCCTCACAGTTACTTACCAAATTGTTTATTTGTTGATTGACAAAACACTTGAAATTCCAAGTATGTACCTAGAAGTTTTGAATTTCGTCTATCGCCGCTATCGCGGCGGTATTTTTTTAACCAAACCTATACCTATATGTGAATCTATTTATAGGTCCGATTCACTATAATGAGTAGTAGTCCTTATATTGATAACTTACAATATTATTATTTAGTTCACCTTTAGAAGTAAAAAAAGTTCAATAATACATATATTTTAATTTGTATTCCATATATTAATAATTTGTAAATGTAATACTACAATTTTAAAGTTATTTTTGCGCAAAAAAGCAAAGTATTGCAGTTACTATGACGTGATTCGGAACACGTGTGGGAAAGAGATAGTGCTATACAACGTTTATAGCGCTGTTTCGTTTTGTTTCCTAGTAAGGAATAGACAATATTTTTAAATCATTCGTTCTTTCGCATCACTCAGCAGGAATAAAACATTATTGTTTAATTAAGGTCATGGTACGAAATACAATAAGATTGTTTTAAGCTTGAAACAAAACTTTCTTATTATAAGATTGTTTCATAAAAGATTGTGGTAGGCCCCCTGTTTACTCTTAGTACCTGAACCATGTTCTACAATTCTGATTAGAGCGGGTCGCGTGAGCACGACTTAACAAATGACAGTTGTATACTAATACATTGACACTCACAAATAAATAAATAATGAAATAACTATTCACTGCAACAACTACAAGCCAGCCAATTATAAGTAAAACGATTATTCACAATTAGTTAACCATGTGCTTAACTAATTAAATTCTTGGTAGTGGTACTGAATTGTACTGCGGTCAGCAGACCAAATCAAACAGTGCGACTGGTCCACCAATTTGGCGCAGCGAGCTATGGAGAGGGCTATGCTCAGAGTATCTCTGAAGGATAGGATCCGTAATGAGAGAACTAAAGTTACCGATGTAGCCCAAAGAATAAGCAAGCTGAAATGGCAGTGGGCCGGTCACATTTGTCGAAGAACCGATGACCGCTGGGGTAAACGTGTTCTGGAGTGGAGACCGCGTCTAGGCAAACGTAGTGTAGGGCGCCCTCCAGCTAGGTGGAGTGACGATATAGGTAAAGTGGCTGGTAGTGGTTAGATGCATAGAGCTGAAGACGAAGCTCAGTGGCGTGCCATTGGAGAGGCTTATGTCCAGCAGTGGACGAAAACAGGCTGTTGATGACAGCAGATCAAAGTACTCCAACCTGTCGAGTTTATTTATTGAATTTTCGACTTTATTTCAATGTAATAAAGTTGAAGGTGTAGTAGAGAAATTTGTCAGAAAAGGATAGGTTGACCTGCTGGTCACCGTACCTGATGTAGGAACATGGGAGTCTTAACATAACAGGGGCGAAAGTGTAAGTATGTGTATATTTTATGGTGTAGCTCTGCCTACCCCGTCTGCGGTTAAAAGGTGTAATGTTATGTAAATAGTAGAATTGATAGAACTGTCTATCTACAGTTTTAATGGTTTTAAAATTGAGTACAAATTGCTTTTATTCTCACGCTTTCGTCTCTATCGTAGGCGGACCATAAAACTAAAAGCTTAATTTTATTTCGAACACCGTTTAACTTGCACGCCTAATAAATAATTCATTAATTTATAGTGCTATGCCAAATACATTTTTTTTTTCGCCAAATATAACTGTCAAAACAATAATGACAGATGTCAAACTGACATTGACAGATCTGTGTGGATGTCAAAAATGACAATTATTTATTTGGAATTAATGCTAATGCTATACCGCTAAGGATTAAAAAACATAACTGTTGTTTTTTGCAAACAATTAATTCAATCATTCAATAGTGTTTCTTTAAGAGGTTTAAAAACATAGACCGAAAAAAATAACGACTTACGGTAAAAATACCGCCATCTTTCCTAGTGGAACCAGCTGCAGACAGATTGACAGAGCAATTGATCTTAGTCAGCGAACCAAACCACATTGTCTAGACCTCAAAGTAATTCCTATCCCTGTTTTCAAAGACCCATTTTCTAATAACAAAACGGAACGCGGTGGCTCAACTTACACTGGTCCAATAGATCTTAGGGAAAGGTTTATAAAATGAAGTAAATTAAGCTTTATCATATGTAGATAAGGTTGAGAAATGTGTGGCAAGTTTAGACGGGTTGTCGGTCTAACGGGACCCCCTAATAAGGGGTTGATTATGGGGTGGCCATTTTATTGTGACCGATTTATATTTTTGCTCTAGTTTTTGTTATGTTGGCCAATTGATGGATTGATGGGGGACTTATATGGTGATGTTGGTACATCGTATGGGTCGTAGCAGTTGAGTTATGGTCTCCTAGTTTTATAAAGTTAGTACTTATATAGAATTACAGTACTGTATTACTATTGACCTGGGTGAACGTGGTAATTGTTCTATTTTCGCATCCTTTACTTGATGATGAAGGTGAATATCGAATAGAGAGTATCGGGCTCAACCTCGATCTAAATCCTTAGGTATCTTTGTGAATTTATTCCTTTAGCTTACACTAAATTACCTGGGCACTGTACTAAATGTGAAGTTCTTTGGTTGACTCTAAGACACCCGCGGAAGAGCAGAAGCAGTATAGGAACAAATTAATGTATTCTCTGCCATTACCATAAGTGTGGGAGAGCCCATGTTTCGGCACGAATGGGCTGGCTCGACCGGAGTGATACCACGGCCTCATAGAGAACCGACGTGAAACAACGCTTGCGTTGTGTTTCGTCGTGTGAGTAAGGTTACCGCAAGCCCAATTACCCCCCTCCTCAGTCTCCCCAATCCCCGAATCTCCCACAATCCTCAAATTCCCAATTGCCACAAGGCCGGTAACGCACTTGTAACGCCTTGGTGTTCCAGGTGTTCATGGGCGGAGTTGATTGCTTACCATCAAGTGATCCGTATGCTCGTTTACCGGCTTATACCATAAAAAACCATACGGCTTTCATCAATCACAGCTTGGTAAAATAAAGTTATATTATAAAATGTTTATACAACAAAATACTCAATACACACAGATCTCATACATTTATTAATGATAATAAAACAACATGAATGGATGTGCGTGAGTTTATATTTCTATATTTATACGAGTGGAGTACGACTAGCGTGCGCCGGCGCATATTTATTTATAGGGCAGCCACGCGTGGGTCGATGGCAGTCAAAAAATATTCACTATAT